ACACTGCAGCTGTTTTTTTTTTATTTTTTTTTTGCGGTGCTTTTAAGTAGCTGTTTTAGCTAAAAATCTGCACCAGTATATTTCACGGCGACCCCTCGCTGTTGACAGGCAAGCGTGTGTTGATTCATTAGTGCATCACTGGCATGAGAAATTAAGTGTGACCACTGTGTCTCAAGACTGCTCAATGGCTGTGTAAAATCTGTCATGCTTGCGTGTGCGCGCGCGCACACACATGTAATGACACATTGAAATGATGGAAGAAGAGAGGAGGAAAAGGAGAGGAAAGGAAGCGTTTGAATGAGAAATAATGCTCGGTGAAAGATCGGTATAGTTCTCCGCGGTGTAAGCGGGCGTCTCGGCTGTTAATTAAATAATTTCTGTTCATCCATTAGCACGTCTATGAAAGAAGATGCTCGCCTCTGCCTGATGTGAAAACAAATTTTTTTTGGCGAGGATTTGCAAACAAACATGAAAGGAATGAAAAGAAAGGAGGCAAAGGAACAAGATGTCAAAACCTCACGTCTGCAGCTGCCCCCGGGACTTATTGTGGTGCTACAATAGTTACTTTCAAATAGGCTTCTCTTAAATGGGTCTCTTTTGTCTTTATCTGTACAGTTACATTATATCTGAGCACAAGGCAGATTGTTTGTGCCCAGTAATCAGAGTCTGCCTTTTTTTTTTTTGTTTTCACACCTCAGTTGGATTCGAAGCAAAGGCAAACAAGATATTTTGACGGGGCGATAACTTTAAGTAAAATACTACGTTTGTAAGGTATTTGTACAAATATTTAATACATAAAAGCATATATAGGATGTTGGCAGGTGATTTTTAACAAACATGGGTCCTGGCTTCCTAAACTGTATATTTTAAAACAGCAGTGCCTTTATTTAAGGCATAGGTGGCGCTCCTTCTTTCTTATAGAAGAGCAGAAAAAAAAGATAATCCACTAGCTTGTTAGCCAGCAACACATAACAGGTGGGGAATACGCTAACGTGCTAAGCTATGCTCCATGACAGCAGACTAAGTGACTGCTGTCATGAAGTAACAATTTCAAACTGAAGTTAAATGTAACTAAATATCCTCTGATTTCACATTTGAACAAGTGTCAGTGATTTTCAACCCTCTATTTCATCGTTATTTGGTTTATGTTTTGGAACCAGAGATTTGACTGTAAGCAGCAGGCTAAACAGCAGCACAAAGCAACAGGTGGGGAAGGGGCAGTCCTGGCTTATTCCGTTCTTCAAACCAGAGGAAACTCCATGTTCTCTGGCATCTCATTTATGGAAGTGAGCCCAAATGAAAAAGTTTTAAACGTTCTAAAAGTCTTAAAAGCAAAGTTCCTCCCTGTTTTAGCTTAATATAGAAACTAATTTATTCTGTTGCAAACCACACCGGGCAGCATAATTTTCCAAGTCCAACGTTTGCATGGGGGAAAGAAAAAATCTTTTAAAAGGCATTATCCAACACCGATCAGGTTTGGTGAAACATCGCGTAGTGAGTGTGCATGCGTGTGTGTCGGTACAGCGGTCGGAGCCAAAGGCGAACAGGCAGGCGGAATGAAGAGGTCAGTGTGTAGCTGAGCGCATCTCCAGCACCGTGCTAATTCACTATGACAAGATAAAGCTGTAATCTCACCCCCCACCTCCCCACTGTCCCACTGCTGCCTCACTTCCAAGTCAACCAGCGGTGGATGAGCCATTTACTCCCCCACCCCATCACTTACGACTACTGCTTTAGAGAGGAAGAGACCCCCATCCCGATTTCTTAAGAGTGCAGTCGACACCTCCTCCCCTCCACCGGTTTGTAAATCTCCTCTCGCTTTCAGTTCCTCCTCACTCCCATCCACTGACAGTCAGCAGAGAAGGGATTGGCACTGTTAACCTCCTTTTTCCGCTCAAAAAAAAAAAATTCCTAACACACATAAGGAGTCGGATAAGCTCCCCCCACCTCACCCCACTTCCCTCTATTCCCAACGCTCCACATCAAGCGCCTCCTCTCTGCCATCCAGGAACGAAGCAGCTGTGTGTCCCTCTGAATGTGAATATTCAGGATTTTTCTTCTCCAATCACCTGAAGATAACGATAAAACCCATTTTGTATACACTCAATCTAAATGATCCGGGATTAATCTAATCGCTGTCCTCAACAGCAACAGATAACTCATTGTGTGTGTGTGTGTGTGTGTGTGTGTGTGTGTGTGTGTGTGTGTGTGTGTGTGTGTGTGTGTGTGTGTGTGTGTGTGTGTGTGTGTGTATGCGCGCACGGTGTTCCTCCCCAGGCCAGGACTTTGGTTTACAGTCAGCACCTGTCACACATGCAGAGTCCATGGAGCCTGGGAGGGGCCCGAGAGCCTAATCAGAGGGCTAATTGCAGAATTAGCTTTCCATTACAACTCCTAAACAGCGTTTATTGCTTTACAGCGCGCAAGTGTTTACTGTCAGGATGGGGGGGGGAAAGGTCGACGGTCGTTATCCGAGTGCGTGTGACAAGGCGTGCATTTGGCAAACGGAGGAAAAGTTGGTGCACATTGAATCACGCAAGAATGTACGTGTACAGTTTTCAGCTTTTACAGTATTCTAAATCAGCTTAAAGATCACGTCATCGCTTTTTTGAAACAGGAACTGTAAATAACCCAAAACGCAGACAGAAAAAAAATGATCTTGACATAATAGGAAAGTGAATCATATGAAAGTTCATAAACAGTGTGGTTGCTTACTCAGAAATACGTCGGGTAATATTAGCAGCAGATACCAAAACATATCATGAATCACAACAAAACCTGGAAGTAGAACGCGTCATCAACATCATACGTATGCCCTCCAGAAAACGACCTGCCAACATTCCTGTTTCGCTTTTACAAAATGAGGAAAGTTCTGGTTTCCCGAATCAATGTGCACCAAACTTTCTGAGAAATTGCTCCCTCAAAACCACTAAAGACGACATCTTTACTTCCAAGATAAACAAAGCTCTCTGGGAATATTTGCATATGACAAACATGGAAAGTCAAGCAGTCTAAATGAGAATGACTTGCCACTCTTATTAGGATAAATCTGCTTTAAAACTGTAGTTATTGATTGAGCTACGTGTCTGTTGGGCAGCAGAAGGCAGGCTGGCTTCCCCAGCAGAGAGCCTTACTAATTAATAACAACTTTACAACTTGTAACATAAAAGTAAATCAATAACATGATCCAGTAATTCTAATTTTCATACCGCTCGCAATATAAGAATTTTACGATAATTGCGATAATGTTATCTAACCTTTTAGTTGGAGTTTCTTTTATTTTGAATCATGCACTTAAGGAAAATAGAGTTCAAACAGTGCACAGTGGTCAGTATTTTCAAGACATGAACGATTAGAGCAGAAATCAAATTTTACTGAACAAAACTCCCCATGAAAACTTTTTTTTTTTTCAAAAATAAAAAACTGAAAATGCACTGATCCAAATTATTATGCACAGCAGATTTTCTAAACATTTTATGGATTATAAAGAGCTGCAAACTGTCATTCTTTGAATGTGCAGCATTAAGTGGTTACATGTACTAAAATCAAAAGCTATTTCAATCAAAAACATCTTAAGACCTTCTTTGATATCACCTCCATAATTCTTGCATCCATTGAACTTGTGAGTTTGTGGAAAGTTTCTGCTTGAATTTCTTTGCAAGATGTCAGAAAACCTTCCCAGAGCTGCTGTGTTGATATGACCTGCATCCCACCTTCAGATCTCCTGTTGAGGAAACGCCAAAGGTTCTCAATAGGGTCAGAGGTCAGAGGAGGATGGTGACCACACCAGGAGTTTCTGCCCTTTTATGCCCATAGCAGCCAATGACACAGTGGTATTCCTTTCAGCATGCAGAAGGTGCAGCTCTTCTTTTTGAGCCATGAAAGAAAGTGATCATGGGGAGAGAATCACTGGTCGGCCCCTTCAGAGCCCTCGAAGGTGTGAAAATTACCTCAGCAAAGTACATGGACTTTCTGACTGATTCGGGCCCAAAGCATGACTCCACCACCTCCTTGCTGACATGAGAGTTGTGTTGGAACGTGGTGGCCATCCACCACCAATCCACTGCTGGACCATTCAGGGTTGCCTAGCAGTCAACAGTGAACAAGTCTATTTGAAAATTAATCTTCATGTACGGCTGGGTCCACTGCCACCATTTCTCCCTGTGAGCTCTGGTTGGTGGTGGCCGAATGGTAGCTTCATGCACCACAAGCCTCTTGAGGATCCTCCACCTTGAGGCACCAGCAGCTTCAAGTAACTGTTTGCTGCTTTGTAAGGGCATTTTAACAGCTTTATATCTAATTATCTCAAAGTAGCACAAACATTAAAAATGCGTCCCAAATGGTAGCCTGAAACTTTCTGCTCTGATCCAAATCATTTCTGAGATACAAGCTGCTGTTTACCAACAGAGAAAGTCCAATTCTTCCATTTTGATGTGGATCATCAAAGGGGCATGTGCTATTTATTTTATTTATTGCATGGCACCAACACCGGTGTTGGTGCCATGCAATAAATGTGTAGCAAAATCCCAAAAAAGTTTCTGAAATCCTTAATCCTTTGGCCATTATATGCAAATGATAAACAGAAAATTTTCTCCTCAAAAAGTGATTTCTTTTCAAGTCATTTTAAGAGATGACAAACATGCAAAGTCAGGGAAGTTCATTTCTCACTGAATGGATCCACAGATGAAAACATTTTTCCAGTAAAGTTTGTTTGCGTTTTTTTTCCGTCCTTCCAGCTCATTCAGGAAGCGCTCACTACATACAGAAGGAGACATTTTCCCCCGGCACCGTGTGTGTATGTATCTGTTCTAGGGTTTAGTTTCCACCAGCGTCTCTCAAGCACCAACAGAGGTTGCGATGAGCTGATTTGAAGGACAAAGGTGTATCACCAACGTCACCTTTCAACCCGTCCGTCTTCCCATGGCTGTGCGCTTCGCCTCCCCAAAGAGACGGCAAGCGGCTTGGGACCCAAACCCTCCCAACCATGAAGGTGTCCTTACCGTGCTGGGGGGGCTGTCCAAGTGGCGGCTGGGGGGCGAGTGAGGGGACACCTTTCCGCAATAAGAGGCCAGAGGGAGGTGGATGACACCGCCCGGTCCCTCGCTCTCCTCGTCCTCCACTCGCTGTCTGCTGGTTGCCATGGTTACCTCTCCATCTGTCCCCCCATATGGAGAGGCTGGTCGCTTGGAAGACATCCTGGAAAAGAGTAGGAGATAGAAAGACGAGGGAGAGACGGGAGGAAGAGTGAGCAATATTCAAAAGGGGATACGTCTTGTAAGATGGAGGAAGTTCCTGTCGATTAAAAAAAAAAAAAAGAAGCAAAAGTACTTTTCATAAACTCCCAAACGGTGTCGTAAAAGGTTAATTTTTAAGCCCTTTTTCATCTCCGCGGTGCTCCGGGTTCTGCTCTTCTGCGTTTCTTTGAGCGAACCTCTTCAATAAATCCCCTCCAGCCGGCTTGTGATCGCCCCAGCCGCCTGGCAGACCTTCAAACCTGCTCCGAGGTCTTACACTGTGTTTACCACGGGGGCCGTACAGAATTCACTTCCCCCAAAAGGACAAGGCCATTACTGCTAAAATGGAGCCATGTTTCACGGGGCATTGTGAAGGAAATGACCACGTCTTGACAATAGGTCTTTTCACGCAGAAACACAGGTTGTTGGAGGACGGTGGAGGGGGGGGGGGAGAGAAAAATGGAGCGAGGGCAGAATGTACAGTGACAGTAATATGTATTTATGAAAACCTGCGGACAATAGAGGAACCGGAGGAAAAAAATAGCTGGCAACATGACAGCCCTGCTGTTTGCATTTGTTATCGTGGCTTTGTTCCCTTGAAAAGAGGGAAAAGGATATAAAGCCACATCTATTAGATGAACTCTGTCTCTCGCAAGGTAAATTTTCCTCCCTGCACTTCAGCTGAATAGGGATGAAGTGACTATGCCGCAATAATAGAATTTAATGTGGTTCTCAGCGTCGCCTGAGTGCTTTCAGATGCACTTGTCAGCCTTGAAGCCACTGCGACTATGACCCTGGGTAATAGGCTGCTAACGCTCAGGGGTGCAGAGCCAACGCATGACAGGGGACCGAGGGACTCTGGGAAACTGGTTGTGTTGCGATGCGGCGAAAAAAACAAGCAATAAGCAACTGGCGCTCACCCCTCAAACTCCTCTAATTCTTTATTTCCCTTTGAAATAACAGGCTGTTTTCTTCACTCATCTGCACACGTCCCTGTCCTGCATTCATACCGCGCTGCGCTCTAATTGGCTCTGTCATCCTCCTCGGCCTTTCTCTCTCAAATTCTTCCCCCATGCTCCCCGCTTGTCTCCAGTAAACTGATTACACTCTTGACTCAATTGGATTTCCTCTGGACTGTACATCTGGCATTCTTCCTCGGAGGAGCCCTGCTCCTAATTCGTCGCTTATTTACCTCATGACGGTGGACACGGAGACAGCATCGAGTGCCGCTCGCTGGACGCAGAACTTTATCGCACCTGAGGAAGACTGGAGTTGAAGTAGCAGCAAAAAAAAAGAAAAAAAGTTGTGATTTAATGACTTGCAGGTGATTCTGGGATTTTAACTGCAATATTTATAGATGGAAAAAGAACACCTAGGGTTTTTTTTTAAATTATTATTTCTTTGTCTTGGATATCGCAATAAGTCTCCTTTTTAAAAATATATATTTCTAAAATATCAAGTTCCCGAAGAACAAAAGGTCGAGGGGAAAAATGTTTATAGCCCTTAATCTTTTTCAAATGTGGCCAGATTACAAATCTGAATGTGTTTCACTAGGTTTTTATGAGATTGACTAAAAGTAGTACATTGTGGGCTTTGACTAGGCCATACCGTCTGGCTGTACGTTTAGGTTTGTGCTGCTGGAAGGTAAATGTGGAAGAAAGCCAATTAACTCTAATCAACTTCTCTATTCCAGCTAGAGAGAAGGATCCCCACAGCATGACGCATCCATCACCATGTTTCCCCCAAAGTGGTTTGTCCAAAATATCTTAATCCATCAAGCAGGATTTCTTATGCAATGAAATCTGGAATTTCACAACACAAGTTCAGAAAAGTACTGTTGTTTTTTTTGTTGTCATTTTTTAACTTGACTTATTTTTTAGTTTTATTGTTTTTAATACAATACAACAATATGTGTGGATTATGCCTTCACTATCTTCACTGTTGCTGTTTGCTGCATTTATTTAACTGAGCCGAACAAAAAAAAGAAAAAAAGATGAGTGATGACATCACACAAGACAACCCTTTTAAAAGGAGCTTTATAAATGAAAACATAATAAAGTGGAAAATCCTTTATGTCTGATGTGATGTCACCTGAGGCCTGCATTCATGTGAGTTTGGTCTTTATTGGCATTTCTGATGATTAGGTAACTTTTACAACACTTAGAACCACTGTGACATGTTAGCCCTACAAGTGATAAACTATTTCAGAATGATTTTTCAGAAAATGTCTGGGTAGCAGCTTTAAGTGTTCGACGATGCCCAGCAAAAAAACAGAATCTAATTTTGGTCAAGTTTCTAGTGCAAATATCTTAGTGAACTTAGACAGATCAGATATATGTTTTGTTACAAGTGAAATAATCTGCCAGTGGATAAATCAATATTAATGAATTGTTGACTTAAAATAAGCTCTTAAGTCTTTGAAAAGTTACATACAAGTCAGTTTTATCTTATTTTAAGCGCAAGGAGACATTTGCCCTGTAAACGAGACCAAAAATACAAGGCAAGCGTTTGTGTTTTTGCAGTGTAGAAACTTTCACGCCAAAATCAAAATGTTTCTTTCATTAACTGCTGTTTTATTGCTTATGGTAACATAATTCACTGGACTCCACATCCTTCCACATAAAACAACGCTGAACTTGAAGTGATTGCTCTCATAAAAAGGACAGTATGTCCAGAAAAAAAAAAATCACAAGAACAGCATGAAAACACATCAACAGGAACAGCAGATTTCTTTATCTCTGCTGGACGCTCCACCTAGCTCAGCAAAAAGAAGAAAAAAAAAAAAAAAGAAAAGAATGCGCGGCCATAAATGGCCGCTGGAGTTTTTGTTTCGTCTTGATGACAATCAAGGCGTTATCTCTAAATCTGATTGACACGAAAACTGAAACTGACTTGCAAAAACAGTTATGATCCCTGGGTTGTAAAGAGCGCCTGAGCTGGCGCCTGTGTTATGTGGCGCTTCACGCGCCGTCCAATGCAAGCGGCAGACCCAGCTGTACAAACTGCCTTTTGAGCCACGCGGCACTCGCGCACGCACACACACACACACACATGCACACACGCACACACACACACTCATGTGTGAGCTCACACAGAACAGAGGCCTGAACACTGCTGGTCTGTCTTCATCACTACCTGTTTACTTTACCTCCTTTCACTCTCTCACACTAAGGCCTTTTGTACGGGACACAAACACACGGCCCCTTGTGCCCCTGTATACACCTCTGTCTGGCCAGGAGCTGACACGCAGACCTGAGGTCAGCTCTGAATCCTCAGACCTTTCCCTTGAGTTACGCACCTTCTGCAGCAGAAACGTCCCCGCAATCGTGGGAGGCTTTTAATTTGGATTTTATAATTTTACTATCCATCATTTAACCACAGTAGCTCCTCGGGCTTATCCAAATGGACTGGGAATCCAGAGTTAAATATTAACCCCAAAAAATAAACACACAAGCACACATACAAACCAGGAAAGATCCAACTCTCAGCCTTAAGATTAAAAAGTTACAGTTTCAAAATAGCAAACGGTTCCTGTCCTTTCCAGAGAAAGTACAGAAGTTACTTCAGTTTTCTGGATAGCTTCCACAAAGAAAAACTATGACACTTAGCCTTTCCTCAAAAGACAGAGAGATTCAATATATGGACATTAGGAGTTGGTCGATTATTGTTACTAAAGTATACCAAGGTTTGAAAAGTTGCGCTTTCAAAACTGCGAAAACGTTCGAGAGAATTCCAGCGCTGGTTATCTAACTAAAGAAAGGCTACTTCACATCTGGCTTGCTTAAAATCAAAATGCATTATTGGAGACATTTCTTTTCTCAGTATGTGAAAATTCTTATTGTTTGATCATCACTGTGTGAAAGTTGCTAACAAGGCTCTGCTCATATGGTTCTAAGGCTCACTGTGTAGTGCTGAATGGCACCAAATGGCTAATATGAAAGGAGACTCAGACTTTGACTTGTTTCAATGTTACTTTAGTAAGAGCTGAATGGCATAAAGGAATAATACTCTATGATCTGCCACAAAGACTAAAAACTTCAACTAATTTAATTGGGCGTTTATATGTTCCATGTTTCTGCTTAGCTTCTGTTTTAACGTCAAAATAGACAACATTGCTGGAACTGCAAATCAATATGTCATAATAGTTGAGTAGCAGAGGGAATATTTCTCTTTCGCTTCAAACAGAAACAGTTGTCTTATGTTACGTCCATTAATACAACAGAACGACCACAGCGGGGCAGCGGGGATGACTTCGCCCTCTCATGTGGTCAACGTTTCACGCCATAAGATTTTCTCTCTCCTCCTCTTCTTCCCCTTCTTTTCTCATTTGCCCCCTCCCCCCCAGGCCCACCACAACTTCCTCAGAGGTGGATGACTACAAACGCTGAGGTTTTTTTTCACAGCTCCTCTCTGGCTGTAGCCCCCCCAACCTCTCTTTCTCTCTCTCTCCTCATTTGCCTTTGAAGTGGAATTACTACACAATTGGGCACAGCGGGTGTGCAGGTTACGCCGGCTACTTCATTTAAAGTTTGGCAGGCCTGTCACACTGATGGAGGCCTGTAGAGAAAGCATGATGGGAGGATTTATTTAGATATATTTAAAAAAAACGATGCTGCTTTATTAAGCTGATAAATCGGCATAGTCGGTCAGGTTATAATTGCTGAATATTTGCATAGTTGTTTTTTTTTCCAGCAATAAAAATTCTCCCAAAAAAAGACCCTTACAGCAAACACACACGCACACATGAAGCAGTGCACACAGTGAGAGCGCTAAGCTGAGATTAGAGCGCCACTTCCCCTTGGCTTTTTGATGATTAGTGGCTCCTCATCTAAGTCCCTCTCATATCACATATGTCGTCCGCCGCTAAGTCACTAATCGGACAGCGACGGACGTCCATTAACGGTCCGAGTAATCGCCATCAGCGGTGGTTAACCGTCTCCTGGCCGCTGCGCACTGTGATCA